TGAACAAAACTATGAATTTGTTTTTGCTATTTTTAGTCTCTTTTTCAATCATTTTGTTCAATAGCAAACTAATTAATGTATATATTTTATATGATAATGATACAACTCTTATTATGTCTATGAACGAACACGTTGAGATCACCAGTAATCTCCACAGGAACATATTCCTCCAGTGATTTGATGGAACCGGTTTTTATCTCTCAAAGACACTTCTCTTTCAAAAACCTTCGAGAAGATCTTGGCGAAGTTATGACAATCAACGCATATACGCAGGTTCTTGAAAACACGAACCGGGATCCCATCACCAGTAGTAATCAACCCAAAAGTCAAGGCTAGTTTCTCACTGTGGCCAAGTAGCGTCTTCTCCTTCTGCTCTTCATCCACATCATATAACACACAGCTAAGATCAGGAACATAACCAGCCTGCTTCATTTTTATCAGTATCTCTTTCAATTTAGCAAACACATCTTCTCTTCTCGGATGTGTACGATCATTCGCATGGAAGTAATTCAGGGTTTGCTCGTGTTGGATCCAGCTTCTTCCTGGTTCTTTTGTAACAGCTTTCTGCATCATCAATGCTCTTAAGGTGTTCACTTCTTCCCATCTTCCTGCAGAAGCATACAAGTTAGAGAGAATGACGTAGTTACCCGCATTCTCTGGTTCAATCTCAATGAGTCTACGACCTACAGATTCGCCAATGTCTACAGATAAGTGAACCCTACAAGCGCCTAAAAGAGAACCCAAGACACCAGCAGTTGGTTCAGACGGCATTCTTTTAACGAATTCAAACGCCTCCTCGATCCTACCAGCTCGACCAAGCATATCAACAATACAACCATAGTGCTCAGTGTCAGGCTTAATCCCATAATCTCCCGCTATCATGCCATCAAATATACTTAGCCCTGTGTCTTCCATTCTTCCGTGGCTGCAACCAGACAAGACAGCCAAAAGGGTAACAGAGTCAGGCTTTACTCTCTTCTCATCCCTCATCAATCTGAAGAGCTCAAGAACTTCTTTTCCTAATCCATGTTTACTATATCCCACAAGCATCGCATTCCACGAAATGGATGTCCTCTCAGGCATGCTATCAAAAACCTTTCGAGCGTAAGAGAGATTCCCGCATTTTGAGTACATATCGATCAGAGAATTCTGAAGGACTGCGTAGAAGGGAAGTTCACGTCTCAAAACATGGCAATGAGCTTGCTTGCCATGATCTAACAAAGCAAGTCCAGACAAAGCTGTTAGAAGACTAGCGTATGTCACATAATTCGGACTCATTCCTTCACTCTGCAGTCTCTGAAACATCTCCAACGCCTTTTCGTCAAGACCCAATTGGGCATAGCCAGCAATAATAGCAGTACAAGAGACAACATCTCTCTCAGGCAAGCACTCGAAGATCTCGCGAGCTTCCTCAATTTCACCAGCTTTAGCATACGTGTCAAGGAGAGAGCTTCCCACAAAAATGTGAGAATCATAACTCCACTTAATTATGAGTCCATGGATTTGCTTACCAAGTGCTAATCCAGAAGCACGAACACAAGAGGTAAGAACAGAGGCGAAAGTGAACTCATTAGGCTTTCCATCTGATCTCATCATCTCTGCAAAAACAGTTAGAGCCTCCGAAGAATGCCCAGTTTGAGAATAACGCGAAATCATGGCAGTCCAGGAAACCACATTCTTCTCAGGCATTTCATCGAGCACTTTCCGGGCATCCTCCAAACAATCACACTTTCCGTAGAAGATAAGCAGACGAGTCCGGAGGTATGTAGCGGGAAGATAACGGGTTTTGATCATGTGGGCATGTACTCTCTGACCTTCTCTAAGAGCCCTTTTCTCCAAACACGCATTCAACAATGCATCGTAACCATGGAACCCCATCTCGGGACCTAAAACCGCCATTTCCAGTAAGGCTTCTTGAAGACGACCATTGGAGCAAAGTTGAGAGATTGGAAAGAAGGTTTGTAGAGCAGAGCTGGGAAACGACGAGAAGGATCGATGAAATATTCTCATCAAGTTTAACATTTGACGAATGTATGTATTATCAAAAAGAAAAAAGTTGACGAATGTACTCTGTTTTATTCTTTTCAAAACATTATTACTTTAGATAGGTCTCTGTTTTCTGTTTTTTCCACAAATCATTACATATCCAAGGAGGAATAAAACACGAAAGAGAGAACTCAGATAATGAAATCGACAAGTACTTCTGTTCTGAAAATCCACGAGTCTTAACACTTGCTACTACCGATAATTTCTGAAAAACGGTCTTTTCATTCCTGGTTCCTTACATTCGTAAGAGCAAAAGACATTTCCTTCAGGACGGATGTTGTAAGTTTGCCACTTCATATTCCACCAGTAGCCTTCATAGTAGATAAAACCAGCGCAACGTTGGTTACATTCGTAGCAGAACAGTCTAGTGTTACTACTATTGCGTATAACCTTCACCATTCCACCCAGCTGGTGGAACGTGGAACCAGGTTTCATACAGTACGAGGATCCAAATATGCATTGAAGGTGGACAGGGGTGCAGCATTCGTTACATGTGTAGAACCATTCGCTTTGATCTAATCGTTTCTCACACATCTCGCACCAATACGTGTCATTCGCGCTTTCTCCAAAGGAAAGGGTGAGAGGATGCTTGTCAAATCTGTAGTGTATTTCATTTGGAATTGTACCACATTGGTAACACAACGCATATTCGCATTCCGTACATTGTAGATGAGACCCCAAACATCTTTTCTTGCAACCTTTACATAGGATCTCGTCCTTGCTGTTGTAAGATGTGGAGATGAAAATGGGATGTTTGTGGCTTTTGTGGATGAAACACTCTAGAACTTTGATGCATCGAACATCTAGCATAAACTCTTGGCAACTTTTTTTAGAGCATGCATAAAAGAAACCAGTGGTTGCTCGAGAACAAGCTGAACAAGATATGGATCCCTCGGAAAACGGATATAGGATAAGCGTGTGATTGTGCAATGCATGATCCAGTTTTCGAGAAAGACCAGCACATACCTCGTGGAGAGAGTAACTGCATTCCTCGCAATGATAGAATTGGTGAGAGAGGATTGGAAATATACACGCTTGGCATTGCTTTTCTGTGTCTTGAACACCATCGTGCTTCTTGAGCCTTAAAGGATGTTCGTGGCAAAAATGTTGTATAAAGCCATCGCCTAGCGTCTTGAAAGGTGAAATATCTTCTTCGGTTTCGACGGACTCTTCTGTTTCCCATTCGAGATCGGTCCCATCCCATACATTTACATGCGTTGCACATTTAGAATGAACTACATAAGAACAATCTTCTTGGTTGCAAGAATATTGCCCATATTTGAAGTCAACATCTTTGTAGCAAATCCGGCATGAGGAAATTAGAGGTGAACGGTAAGGAATATGAGAGAGACGGTGTGGGTGACGCGTGATCTTGATAACCCGAGGTAAGTCGATACATTCCTGATGGACCATGTAATTACATTGGAAACAAGTATAACTTGGTATTGACGCATCCACCAACCCACAAGCATCACATGGAAGTAATAATGGCCGAGGTAAGAATAGGAGTGAGTGGTGATGGCTTTTTGGGTTTGCAATAGTAAGAGGTGGAACATTTTCCGCGCAAGACAGATCCAAGCAAAAGCTACAAATCAAACAACGATAGATGAAGCAATCACCTTTGAAATCTTTTCCGCACCAAGTGCATTTATCGAATACGATATCGGATTCAGAAGGAATAATATCGACAAACTCAGGCCTCTCTTGATCTGATGTGTCGGATTCTGGATGCCATGTTTCAGATTCGCAAGGATTTAACTCAGGGATGATGTTGGATATGACTCCGGTTTCAAGGTTTCGATAGAAGAGAGTGAGAGGATGTTGGAGATGATAAGGATGTGTTATCTTTCTCGGACGCTGATGACAACCCTTGTGGAACTCCACACTGCAAGTGGTGCAGTAGTAATAGAGACCATCATTCGGCCTTTCAGTTTTGTGTCCACCACAACTAAAGCATCCGAACGGAAGTTTGAAGTCATATCGAGTGGACAGGTTATGTTGAGGAGGGTAAGCTGGATGAGACAGAAGGCATCTAGGTCCTTCATCATCCATTTTGGATGTGATCTATCTATCTACATCTCTAAATATTTAATTTATGCTCTTCTTCTTCACCTAGTGAAGTGGAATAAACGTTAGAAAAACAAAACAAAAAGTTAATAATTAAGAGATAATTACTAAAATAATTTTTATTCAATCTTAATAAAAGACATATAAATCTTAGTATAACGTTTTTATTACAAAAATTGCAAACAATGACCAACTTTCTTTATCTTTGGTCGGCAAGTGGCAACCAACTTTAACTTTTAAATTGTTTAAGGATAATTAACCCAAAATCAATATTTTATACGTTCGTCTCTGCGACTTATAATAAACA